AGGAATGGGGATGAAAATGCAAAAAACTTTTTCCTTCCAAATACTGTTCTTTGACTATTCATTCACAATTATCAAAAATCATCATAGGCTTGAGTTCTCTGCCCTCGAAAATGGATACCTGCTTAGTGTTTCGTTTTGCCTCTGCTCAGTAATGTGTTCCCTTTCAGGAACATTTATGAACAAGAGGGTGGGTCTATGGCTACAATACTGTATGGCAAAATGCTCATTGTAGACACAAAAGCAGTTCTTTTTATAACAGCGTAAGTATTTTGTCATAATTTGGAGAAAGTAATGATGCTGTTTGCGTCATTTAAGCAGTCATACAATTTGCTTAAGAAACTCATGAGAATTTGTGCTTGTAAAGCCAAAGTGTTCAAGGTTTTTTTTATTAGATTTCTCTGAGAAACACTGGCTTTCTTACCTTCCACAAGTACTTGAACTACATATTTTTAAATTTAATTTTATCTTGGGAAACATATGTGCCCTCCTCTTTTGATTTTTGAACTGAATAAATGATCTATCTGCAGGCATTCAACACTTAAGACTATTGTGCATAAAATCATAACACTTAAACTTTGACAGTAAAACTTTAAAAAAAAAAAATTTAATTGTAACTAGTTTTTTTAGCAGAAACTTTTCACTTTGAAAATATGAGAATATTAACAGGTTGTTACTGTCCCATTAGGCATGTATTTGTATTCTACGTACTGAAAGAAGGGCTGTATCAAGCCTATTTATGAAGACAGGGAGGCAGATGAGAATTTTGTCACCGTTTTTAAGAAGCTAAAAAAATCTTCCTTCCTTCAATGATGGTTTGAGTGATTTATCAACCTTATTATTAAAAATTCATGCTTTCCCATATGAATTCGTCTGCAGCTTTTAGACAATGATGTTTATTGTGGCTTTCATCACTATATTAAAGAGCTCTTTCCTACCCAGAGGGTTTTTTCTGTTCCCCTCTTGTTCCCTTTGAGACATTTGTGCTGTAATCAGATCACCTTTTGATCTTCCTTGATCTTTCTTTTGGTTGCTAAACAGATTGATGAGCTCTTTGTTATAAGTAATTTTCTCTTTCCTCTCAAATTTTAAATAGGGCTACAAATAGCAAATTCTGAGATGTGAGCTCACTGAGATCAGTAAGATTTGGACTTCTAAAAGCCGCAATTAATTTGGACTAAACTCCAGTCCTTACTTTCTTTATTATTTATTTATTTTATCCTTCTTACATATTGCCACTCTACGTTAAAACAGTTGAGGCACTATCAACCCTTTTTGATCAGGTGGTACCATGAGGTTGTGGTAAATGCAGTTTAACTAAGACCATCTCAGAGATGTTGCTTTTCATGGTTATGGTTCTCCAGGAATCAGGTGTGGCCCAATTCTCTATGATTTCAGAGATGATCGCAAA